TTCAGGGTCGAGGAGAGCATCCTTTTTCTCCTTGCTCTCCTGCTGCACATGGTACCACCTTTCAGCAAACTGCACTGCATCATGGACACTGTGGAAAGCCAACTGGCTTCCACAGTTTGTATTGCTAGCCCAGCCTCCCTGCTGAAGCAGGTGACGGATGGAAGGGTTGCAGTTGGCCAAGAGCACCTGGACACCAATATCCTTGTAGTCATGATGCACCTCCTTCAGCACAGAGAGACCCACAGTATCTATGAACTGCATAGCCCCACAGTCAATGATTAAGGTGTGCATATCTATGGAAGGAGGACAAACATCTGCTGGAGACTGCTCAGCCCTTTTCTTGGCAGGTTTCAGACAGTGAAATCTGGTGCAGAAAAAGCTCTTGCTGTGGCCCGTGTCTGCATTTGCCTGGGCTTCCATCCTTTGATGCTTAGCAGCTAGCAGGGTAGGGTTTACTGCAGTTTTCTGATAGAGAACTGTCTTGAAATAATCCTTGTTGGCATAGTAAAGGGATGCTTCAAAGCGGAATATCTTCATGTTGGCAATACTGCTGAGCTGCTTGTAAGTGGATTGGTCCTCATAGATTTCTGAATTACTGACCTTGCCCAGGAGCGTGGCCCTGGGTCTCTGCGTGCGGAAGATGATGCAGAGCAGAGCAAAGCAGACACCCACAAGGAGCCCGATCTCTGTGGTGATCAGCGTTGAGGCTAGCATGGTCATCCACCATACCACTGTGTCCACTTTGCTGAGCTGCCACATTTGGGGGGTGTCGCAGAACTTCCTCAGGCCGCCCCGCAGGTTAATGATGGTGACTACCCCCAGGATGGATGTCTGCAGTGAGTAAAAGAGCGGAGCAATCCACAGCAGCACTAGCAGCAGCACCAAGGAGGTGACCAGGCCTGAGATCTGGGTCTGTGTCCCTGTGGACTCCTTCAGCAGAGTCTTGGTCAGGGCTGCAGAGCTGGCAAAGCAGTAGAAGAAAGAGGGGATCAAGTTGCACATGCCAATGGCGACCATCTCTTGATTGGCACGGACAGCGTAGCCATGCTTTTTGCCAAAGATTTCTGCCAGGGAGACGGTCATGGCAAAGCCAATAATAGCAATGGGCAGAGCATCAACTGCCAGGCTGGAAAACAGTTTAGTATCTGGTAAGGTGGGTTTCCTGAAGCCAGTGGGGATGGCCCCGCAAACAGCAGACTTGTACCGCTCTTCAAAGTTGAAATAGTATGATAGCACTGTTGCTACAATGACCACCAGCAGCTCTACAGGGAATGGGGCCTTCATCTTGTCTTTATATCGGTCATTGATCTCTTTGACAGGCACAATGATGGCCAAAGCAATCAGACTGGTCACCAGGTCACAGATGTTGGTGTTCTGGATGTATCCGAAAAGGTCAACCCACGTCAAGATGAAGGATCCCACCCCTTCATGACGAGGGATTTTCAGTCCCAGGAGATACTTCATCTGGGAGGTGATAATGGTGAGGCTGGAGCCGGTCACAAAGCCGCTGAGGAGAGGTTCTGACAGGTAGACAGACACAAAGCCCAGCTGTAAAACCCCCAGCAGGATCTGAAAAGAAAGTCAGTCATACCTTTAACATCCATGAGAAGAGCTGGAAGAGGTGACCAGCGATTTATGTCAGTTGCTTCCACTTCAGCCTGTCTGGCTACTCTGTCTGCTGAGCATTCAGTGTGAGACAGAGGATTTTATCTCAAGTAGCTAGTCTAGGATATGGAAAACTAAAGAGACGTAGAAGATTTGGCTTTATCTAAAAATGCCATACAATGCCTTGCAAATGCCTTCAAGGTCCCTGTGACTGTCTCCTTACAAGGAACAAGACTGCAGTTAACACTCAGAGTCCAAGGGGTAGCTAAATCAAAGCAGCTTATGAGTATCACCTGGTGGCTAAAACAGTGTGAGGCAGTGAATTTTTGTTGTCCCAGTGAAAGGGGCTGAAGTTGGCTACTGACAGCTGGGCCCAGGCAGTGGACACATTTCCAGGGAGCGTGGCCTTTAGAGGAGTCCCTGCTGATGGCATAGCCCTTAGAGGGCTTGCCCTAACTGGAGAGCAGCCCTAAAACTGCTCTAAACTATACCAGGAGTCAGCCCAGGTCCAGGACTAGGATGGTGGGACGGTGGTTCACAGTTCCCTTCCCTCCCTTGCCAAGTCTGATCCTAAGCATGTTTCAGACACATCCAAGGATCTGGCCTGTCATGTGGGGAAGGTACAACCCCAAAGTCACGTATGTTTGGGGTTTTCTAAACCACTGCAGTTCAAGGGTGTCAGGGTCTAGTCATTTCAGGCAAGGTTTGTTGTTAACTCAAGTCTGAACTGAGACTAAAGAAAGAACAGAGAGGAAACAGCACAATAGTCAATATTTGTACCTGGTAAAGACCGACCAGAAAGCTTAAGGAAAGTGCCACAGTGATGGCGTAGCAGCTCCTGTCACAGACACCTGTCCCATTAGTGGGGGAGGTGGAGTTCCCCACCAGCAATGAGCCAGTGTTGTCGTCACTGTACCCTGCTAGCTGAAGGTGCCGATTCACAGACTGCCCAATCATCAGGCACAGGACACCAAAGGAGCCGACGAAGTTATGGCGTGAAGTGGCCATAGCAAAGTAGATGATATTGCAGAAGAAGTTGGTGTAGATTCCATAGATGGGATCCTGGTTCGCTAATAGGGAATACGAGATGGACTGAGGGATGGCAACTATCCCCACCAGCAGCCCAGATATGACATCCCCAAGCAACTGCGTCTTGACATGGTAATGGGGAAGCCAATCCAACACTGGGAAGAGGTGACAGAAGAAACTGATGATAGTTTGACGATTGCATTTGCAGACCTCTCTGGCTTTCTCTAGGATGAGATCCCGGCTGCTGAGGTCCACGGGCTCATATTCTTCCAATCTGACATGTATAAAACGGACAGGAGACTCTTGTGGCGTGAGGGAGCTTAGTGTGTCTTTGCTCTGTCCTGACTTCTGGCTTGACGCGTCCTCCATTGCACCAGGAGACCTAAGACAGGAGAGCAGGCATGCCCATGCAGTATTAAATTCATGTACATATTGTGTTTTGCTTAGCACCTGGGCTCATGCAGATTGCATGGATAAATAGAGGATGGCAAATAGCCTCAGATAAATCAAACCTCCCTGCGGTGCCAGTTGATCTGTTTATCAGTTATGGACCTGATTAGCCACAGCCCTGAATGACCATGGCTTATGTTGCATTCACAGTGCCATAGATGCCCACATTAGGGACAGAACTACAGAGAACACCATGCTCCTTACAGACACAGCTCTTGATTTGAAACAGGACAGCAGAATGTTCTGAGATCAGAAAATATTACTTCACTGAAACTAAAACTTCTTGAGAAACCCTGCATGTCTTGATGACACTTCCACTGAGGCAAGAACTATCCTGAAAATGAACTATTCCATGTGCTGTTCTAGGAATGTGACATGTGGGTGAAGGAGGCTATTTGCAAATTCATTTTTCCTTTAAAAATTTGAAATATGTTATGTATTAAAAACAGCAGGTTCTAAAGAAAGGCTTTCAACTGAGCCTAACCATTTCCTTTCTTCTGTTCTCCTCATCCCCCATTAAATTAAACACGGAAAATCAATTTTTTTGTTTTGTTTCAAAACCAAATTCATTTTGAAATCACAGATTTTTTCCTCCAGAAACAGGGAATTCCAGTTTCTGCACTGCTATATACCATGTGTCTCTGTGTTGGCAAATCACCAGTAAATCAGAACTGGTTTCTGCTGGTATCACTTCTTAAACATTAGTTTTGACAAATGATTTTCATGATGTTGGCATCTTTGTAGCATTAGTTATTTGTGCTGTAACTTCTAGTTTTTTTACAGGACTGCACTATCCTGATTGAACAATGAATTTTTGTGACAATGGCAGAGGAGTGGCGTGTATGGCAATGCTATTAATCGTGACATACTAGAGAAATGATAGAGGTCTAGGAACAACGTCAAGAAAACTAAGCATTTTCCGAGTGCCGCCAAGTAACTGGCTGCCCTTTCAATGACTCTATCGTATTGACTAGAAATGATCAAAATCATCCACTTAACACAAAATCATGTCACTGAAGTCTGACCTTGGCAGATTCCCTAGAAAGCTTTCCATGCTTTCTTAAAGACTACCCCATTCTGAAGATGCCCTAAACGACTGAGGCTGAAAACAATCCCCCACAGTTACCTGCCCATCTACCAACTGCGACTTGGTGTCTCTGGCTCCTGGGAAACTAGCAGGAAAGCCACCATCCCTGTAAAGCATGGATGAGACAAGAAAAAGTGAATTACTTAGCTGGCTTGCTTCAAACAGGCCCATCACAGGGGCTGGTATTTGTAGAATGAATGCATGCTATTATTTTGATCTGATTAAATAATGTATATCCTTCCCAGAGCTACTCCAAGTTGTTCAGTCACAATGCAATTGCAACAAAACACAGCTATCTGTTAAAACCAAACAACATACAAACAGAAGCACTCAGTGTCTCCTGAGTGAACACCTAGCCCGGCTGCAGGTTGGAAATGGAACCAGGATGATGAGAAATCCCCTTCCCCTACCCTGCAACCGCATTTCGCATTACTGATCCCAACCCAGAGTTCTTACCTCTGACTGCATGGAGGAGAGAGGGGATACACTGTGTGTCTTCTTTGGGTGCCCCAGAAACTATTTGGAGCTTCTCACCTGCTGACTAACCTGTCTCCCCACCTCACAATGTACACTGAGAAGAGAAAGCATGACGCAAACAATTGCAAACCTGTTTCCTTTGCCTTCCTTCTGGAACATAAGCTGCTTCTCTCTGAAGACAACTCAGTCATTCAGCCAAACATTTGGCCCTTTTATCTAGCTCCAGCTGATGGAGACAGTGCAACCAGCCAAACAGAGCTGTATTTTGAAAACAAACATCATTCTGGGAGAGTATTTTTGATGAAAACTTGTTCTGTCCATTAAGAATGATTGAAGGAGTTTAGAGAAGTACTCCTGTCAGATAACAGTATTGCTGGTATCTGGAGATGTGTTTGCTAAACAAGGGGAACAATGCACGGAAATTGTCCTGCATGGGCTATTGCATTGCTCCTCCATCAACCAAGTACCCCCAGCTAAGTCCTACTGCACTTTTCCACTCACAGATTTTGATCTATTCCGGACAGGATTTTGTCTGGCCTGTTCCAAAAGTACTTTTCTCTCCTGGTAGCTTTTCTATCAATGTGTTCCTACCAGGCACCACTGCACTGTCCAACCTACGCACTTTGCTACAGACAGCGTGGCTGCACAGAGACACGAAGGTGCAGTCGTGTCCCAGACCGCTCCCTGAGCGGTCCCACCTCTGTTTTGCCAGATCGCATTCACACATTTACACAGAGCCAGCAATGTCTTGCTTCAGAAAGGCTTTGTACAAGGAAGTTAGTTGGTTCTGAAAGCAAAGTTGGGATGACAAGGATTATTTCTAGCTAGTGATAGAGAGAACTTGGTGTGTGTGAGATCTGCACAATCCACATTTTACTTGTGCCTTATAGCACGACTCATAGCACGAGTAATAAAAGAGATTCTGCTTTGCAGAAGTAAGCACAGTTCAGTAAAGCGCAGGCTTTTATTTCTTTTATAAGTAAAGGTGAGCAATTGTACCAGTGGCCAGGGAAGGAGATCACTATGAAACAACAGCCTCAAATACTAGCAATAGCTGTTCTTCTCTTGTGCTCCTTGCCAACTACCTGCATTAGACCTCCCAGCACTGTCTCATCTCATTCTCCATTGTTCTGGCAGTCAGGCAGCTCAGTTCCTACTTCTGCTTCTGTCACTGACTTTGTTCAGGGCTTGGGGAGGGAACTTAGAGCCTGGGGGATAGGGAGAGATGATGCGGGGTAAGGAGAGATGACATTTTAACAAGTCTTTGATTTAGTTGCTGGGGAGACACCCTGAGAAAAGAGGAGAGGAAGATCTGCCTCTTGAATTACATTGCTCTCATCAGTGGAAGAACATCTCAGTAATTAGAAGTAAATGAATGAGAAACATCAGTGCTCTCTGGCAGCAGGAAAAAATGAGAATATGTCATAGGAAAGACAGCTGCTCAATGTATTTATCTGTTCATACTAGACTCTCTTTCTCTGCCAGTTCTCTACAGTTCATATCTTTTCAGGTTTGTCTGTGGATAGGTACCCTTTCCCTGCTCCCTTTTTTGATAACAGACTAGCTCTTTCCATAGCCTCTTTATTCCCGTTGTCCTTAAAAGATGACCTCTTCATATGCTTTATATTCCTTGCTAGTCATAGCTCATTTTGTATCTTGGCCTGTCCAGTGTTTTCTCCACTTGCTAATTCTCCTTTTCCATCTTCTTCCTTAGTAAGCGAACCAGATTTCCACTTTCTGTTTGATTTCTTCTCCTTGAAATTCAGTTATTGAAGAACTGGTGATTAAGCCAGGCCGGTCTTTTAAGTCTGCTTGCTTTCTGGGGTGAAACAAACCTGAGTACAATCCATTCTTTCATTTTTTGGTCTTATTTAGGAAGTGGTCATTTCCAAATCTGTACCTCTAATATTGTCAGCCAGTGTGTTTCACCTTACTATCCGCCATGAAAATAGGACTACGTACTCTTTCCATTTGCGACAGTATCTAGACTACCTTCAATTTCTACTCTGCTTTCACGATATGGTAGTTCTTTTCCTTCCAAGTTCCATCTTCATTTATATAGTGGAACTTTTTTATTTGTTGTGATTTCCTCTACCACTTAACTTAGCTGAGTAAGTCTTCATTTCAACTCCCACGCCTCACAGGCATAACTTTCTTTGCTGAGCAGTTCTTTTTTCCATTCTTTCTAGTCTTGTTTTTCCCTCTGTCATCCTTTGTTCATGTGACTATCCTCCTAATTAAAGTCTGAAGCCTTCACTACATGACCTTTTCTCTTTTTTGGGAGCAAATTCCCAGTTATTTTTGTATCCTTGACTTTAAAATATGAC